ATCTAGAAATTTTAAGTTGTGTTTCCATTTTCATTGAGTTCAAAATATTTGTTAATTTCTCTGGGATTTCTTCTTTAACCAATGTGTACTTTAAAACTGTGTTGTTTAATTTCCAAGTATTTGTGATTTTCTAGTTTTCTGTTATTGATTTGTAGTTTAGTCACATTGTGGAGTGGGAGCAAACATTGTATAAGTTCTTTTCTTTTGAATTTGTTAAGATGTGTTTCATGGTCCAAACTGTGGTCTGTCTAGATGGATGTTTTATGTGAGCTTGAGAAGAATGTGCTGTTTTGGGGTAAGGATGTCCATTATATCCAGCTGATTGATGGTGTTGTTGAAGCCCACTCTGTTTTTTCTGATTTCTGCCTGCTGGGTCTGTCCATTTCTGACAGAGCGGGGGTATTGAAGGCTACAACTATGACAATGGGTTTATCTATTTCTCCTTGCACTTCTATCTCACATATTTTGATACTATTTTGTTAGATGCATACACATTAAGAGTTGTTATGTAATCTTGGAGAATCGACCCCTTTATCATTATATAATGCTCCTGTTTATCTTTCATAACTTTTCTTGCTCTGAAGTCTGCTCTTTCTGAAATTGATATGGTTACTCCTGCTTTCTTCTGATTAGGGTTAGCATGCTATATCTTTCTCCATCCCCTTACTTTTAACCTTTATGTATCTTTATATTTAAAGTGGGTTATTTGTAGACAACATACAGTTGGGTCTTGATTTTTGATTCACAATGATAATCCCTATCTTTTAATTTGTGCTTTTAGATCACTAATGTTCAAAGTGATTATTGATATAGTTAGATTAATATCTACCATATCTGTTACTATTTTCTATTTGATATCCTTGTTCTTTTTCTTACTTTTTTCTTCCACTTTTTTCTGTCTTTCATGTTTTTTAGATTAATTAATTAATTTAGAATTGATACATATTGATTGTACATATTTATGAGGTACAGAGTTTTTCGGTGCATGAATACAGTGTGTAATTAGTATATTCAGCATCACAGAAATTTATCATTTCTTTGTGATGAGAACATTTGACTCTTCTCTTCTAGCTATTGGAGAACATACAATAAATTATTGTTAATTGTAGATGCCTAGCACTACTGTACTCTTTCATGGTTTTAATTGAGCAATTTATATAATTCCATTTTTTCTCCTTTCTTAGCATATGTTATTACTTGTTTTTTTGTTTTTGTTTTTGTTTTTAATTTTAGTGGTTGTCCTAGAGTTTACAAAATGCATTTGTAACTAATCCGTTCACTTTCAAATAACTCTATAAAACAGCACAGGTAATGTGTGTACCATAAAATAACAAAATAATGCTAATACCTCCCACCTATTCTTTGTATCATTGCTGTCATTTACTTTACTTATACATAAGCATATCTGGCATCTATATACATATATACATATAAGCATACATAATTGAATACATTGTTGCTGTTATTATTTTGCACAAACTTATATGTAATATCAATTAAGTATAAGAAAAATAAAAGTTTTTATTTTATTTCATTTATTCTTTCTCTGATGTTCTTTCTTTATGTAGATCTGAGTTTCTGACTTACATAATTTTTCTTCTCTCTGTAGAACTTTTAACATTTTTTGCAAGGCAGATCTACTGGTAGCAAGTTCCCTCAATTTTTCTTTGTCTGAGAAAGTCTTTATTTCTTTTTTACTTTTGGAGGGTAATTTTGCAAGGTACAGAATTCTAGCTGGGGTGCATGTGTGTGTGTGTGTGTGTGTGTTTCCCTCAACACTTTAAATATTTCACTCCACTGTCTTCTTGTTTTCATGGCTTCTAAGGATTGTAATTCTTACCTTTCCTCCTTATAGGTAAGGTGTTTTGGTGTTTTTTTGTTTTTTGTTTTTTTTCCTACTGGCCTCTTTCAGGACTTTTTTCTTTAGCTTTGATTTTCTGTAGTTTGAAAATTATATGCCTACGGGTAGTAATTTTGGCATTTATCCTGGTTGGTTTTCCGTGAGCTTCCTGGATTTGTGGTTTGGTATCTGAAATTAATTTGAATAATATCCTCAGCAGTAATTACTTCAAGTGTTTCTTCTGTTCTTATTTTCTTCTCCTCTGGCATTCCTATTACATGTGTTTACACCTTTTCAAGTTGTCCCGTAGGACTTGGATATTCTGTTCTTTTTTTTTTTTTTTTCCAGTCCTTTTTCTCTTTGCTTTTCTGTTTTGGGGATTTCTGTTGAGATATCCTGGGTCTTGGCAATTTTTCCTCAGCTGTGTCCATTTTCCTAATACGCCCATCAAAAGCATTCCTCTTTTTTGGTACAGTGTTTTTGATTTCTAGCATTTCTTTTAGTTTCCTTCTTAAAATAAAATATATTTATGATGAACATCTTTCTTTTAGTATAGCCCTTAGGCTATGATGTATCCCCTTTTATGAATTACTTTTCATGATATTTTAAATTAGCCAAATTGAAATAAATTGTATAAATTCTACAAGTATTATGTTTGTAGAAACTGCAAGCATATATCTAATTTACTTAAAACATATTTTCAGCACTGTTAGAATTTTAGTTTTACTGAGTATTTGTCTATTAACCAGTATAATTATTTTGCCTTACTTGAGGAATTACTTAATTCGTGTAATTTTGGAAAAATATGCAACTTGCATTTATTTATTATCCCCTTAATTCAGATTATAGATTCTGCACATCTTCCAGTTCATACACCAACAATAAAGAGAAAGGAATATCACAGTAGAATCCTCTTTCCTCCTAAGGTATTTGATTTAGTTATAAGCTTAATGGGTTCCTTAAAAAATTAGAATAAATTTTGTTTTTGCTCTCTGTTATTTCCCTGACATTTATTTAAAAAAAATTATTTTCAGAGTTATGTTATCAAAGCTCAGGTCAGATTGAAAAATAAACACTATGGAAAATCATACTAAAAATCTTGGTAAGGTCCAAATGCACCAAATGAAGGAGTGAATTATTTGGTAAAAATTTTTGGAAGACTTTTTTTTTCTTTAATGAGTTTTAATTGATTTTATCACCCCTATTAATAATGTCTAGGCCATGGTAAACTAACTAATTTGAGTCTTACCCCTGAAACTAACTCAAGGAACGCATATCTCTCGACTTACACCAGGATGAATTCTAAATTCTTTGTTTCAAATATAAAGCTGAAACCACAGAAGTCCTAGAAATGTACTAGAATATCCTATAACCTTGGAGTAGAAAAAGCCTCTTTTTCATTTTTTTTCCTCTTTTTCATTTTTGAACTAGGTAAAGTTACCATCTATTCAAAACATAATTTAGGATGACCAAAATATTCAAAGCATTTCTCATTAGTAATAATTAACCAGAAGTTATAGCATATAAGAATAAAAGTAAATTCATAAATATAATAAAGACTGTTTTCCAAAACCTAATAGCAAATATTATCCTAAATTATAAAACACTAAAAGTTTTTCCTTAAAATCAGAAATGGTGTAGAATTTTACCCCATAGCAGCATTAGTGTTTAGCAGGTTCCTCAACACTCTAGGAAATGCAATAAGAAATAAAAATGAAATGACTGAAGTAAACACTGGAAGATAAAACTGTTTCATGATATGATTGTTTGCCTAGAAAATTTGAGAATCTGGTTTACAAAACTACTAAAATTAGTAAGATACTTTGGATATAAGGTAAATATACAAAATAACATAGGTTATCTCTATTATATAATGAACACCTAGAAAAGAAACTAGAAAATATTTATATGCCAATATCAACAAAAACATTTATTTTTAAAAAACAGAATAACATAAACATTATAGACTTTTCATTTTGTCAGAATTAATGTATGATATTAAGGCAGTATTAATTAGAATACCAAATGGTTTCCTTCCTTCCTTCCTATTTCCTTCTGACTTCTGTTTAAGCATGGTAGATTAAAAAACACATATATTTTTGCTTTCTACTGAAACCCTCTCAAGATAGAAAAAAGAGCAAATAAGTCAACATAATTTCCAAAGACAAAAGCCTGAATGAAGGGTTAGCAGAGCTGAGAAATTTAAAAGTTACGTGCTTAGAAAGAGTGGGCTATCAGTCTAGAAAGCATTGTTGCAAATGTCCAGGGTATATCAGCACAAATAAAGGCTAGACTTTATTTACTTCGTTCCAAAAAGTATTAATAAGCACTTGGTTACCACATAGTAATAATAATTCTTTTGATAATTTTTAGGATCTTTTGCTCAATATTTTCCAATTAAAAAATAATCAAAGGGCAGGAATCCTAAATTCTCCCTATAGAGATGACATTTTGGGCAGGGTGGGTTTGAAGGAATCAGCGGAATCACGTTTTCAAAGTTAATTAACCATCGATGTGCATTTGGTCTCTTTGTTTTGTAGAGTAAGACCCACCAGTTTTTCCTCACGACTTTCACGGCCCCCACCAAGTGCCAGCAGTGCACGTCTCTGATGGTGGGTTTGATAAGACAGGGCTGTGTTTGTGACGGTAAGACTGCAGTAGAAGGGACATGGGGAGTCAGAGCTGAGCTTCTAGCAGAAATTGTGTTCTCTTTAGACTGCAGAAGCATGACAGTGGACTGATGACTTCACTAAAAATTTCACTGAGCCTGCTGTACATTCGGAAGATTGGATGATGGTTGTTGGGAATAGTTTGGGGGGACCTCTGCACCGTGCCCCACCCAGAGCCTCATCACCTCACAGCATATGTGAGCAGTGGCCTCAGGAGTCGTGCCAGCAGGGCCACATTTGTTAAGAAAATGTACTTAAATGTATTTTGTTCTCTGTAGCACTAGTAGAGTGTGAGGACCATGTTTACTATCTCATGTGATGGGAAAATGGAATGTCATCCGTGGATTGTACTAATTTTATTTTACTCATTTAATTTATGATAGTAAATATTGTGGAAGGAAAGCAGTATGTTTTCAGAAACCCTGAACAGCCGACCACTGTGCCATACAAGGCATTTCCGGTCTGGTATTTGGGAGCAGACACTCTGTATTCCCTGGTTGACTTACTGCACTGAGGGACATAGTGCTGAGCAAGACCGATGTCCCGCCCACTGCGTCCTTTCCTGTACACGTTGTGCTAACTCAGCAAACAAAGTGGGGTTTAAAATGGGGACGCAGGTTCATATAAAATCCCTCTAGGGCTGCAGACGCAGGCTCTAAGCTGAGCTCCCAGGAGCAGCTCCTGACCCAGCATCGCTTGGCCTCAGGGCCTGGGCAGCTGCCTCCGGTGTTACAAGAAGACAAGTCAGGAAGCTGCAGCCCTTAGAACCTGCTGCTCTTGCTGGGATCAGGGAAGACAGTGCTGCTGCTGAGTCTGCAGGATCAGGGCATCACCTGCAGAATTAAGAAAGCTTCCATCTAATTCGGAAGCCACCACTGCAGCGTGACGTCCACATCCTCTGTTGGGATCCACACCAGCAAAACCGACCCTCCACATCCGAAGCCAGGGATGACTCCAGGTCACACACGAACTTATCTTATTAGGGGAACTTACATCAGGTCCAAAATGTTAGCTGCGAGGGGATCTGGGAAATGTAGCTGCTAGCATTTCAGCATCTCCAACAGTAGACAGGACTGTAATGTGAGATGAGAGGGTCCAACTGTTGTGTCCACCTCAATCATAGGTCTTTATTTCTTTCAAAAAGCATGTGGCTTCTCCTGTCACACAGCCTGTGTAGAAAAAGCCCCAAGAGCTTGTCCAGTGCCTTCTCAGCAAAAGAAGGGTCCTCTCTGTCTAGACCCACGAAAAGGCGTGGGAACAGCCTATGAGGGCCATGTCTGGGTAAGTGTCAATATTTAGGGTTTAGATCAACTCTTAAGTATATTGTTAATCATCTCTCACTTTGTGAGCACATTTGTCACATATTATATATATATATATAATATTTATAATATGTTACACAATATAAATTATAGTATATGCAATTAAAAATTTTTATTCTATCCTAAGAAAATGATTTCAGAACAAAATTTAGCTGTCCCCAAAAGGATATTTTGAAATGTCCCAAAGTTTTCTATTTAGACCTTACTTTGTGACTAATAAATCGTGAAATCCCGATAATGATGCAGCTTTTACCCCCCCATCAGCTATAATAAATTATGAGACTAAAAGTAAGATAAGCTTCTTGAGAAATATTTAAAATCTGCGTTGAATTTGAAGGATGGTGCTACCATGTTTGCATTTAATGTTACCTAGGAGCAAAACGTAATTTTAATGAATCACTAGTGCTAACTGAAATGGTATCAATTTTATTTTCACAACAGGAGTCATTCAGTCCTCAAAGAAATTGCTATGTTTTTAAAATTTTACGTATGTTACATAGTTCTGTTCTGTATCCTTAACAAGGAAAGTGACATATTAATAACAAATTTTTATTATTTTAATTTCATCTATATAATTGGACAGTATTTGATGATTTAGTTTGGATTGTTTTTGTCTTTTAAAAATTAAAACTAAAGATCCCAAAGGAAGCAGGACTGAAAAAGGGATGGCAGCGAGCATTGGCTATAGTTTGTGACTTCAAACTCTTCCTGTACAATACAAATGAAGAAGAAGTCTCGGAATCCAGTGCTGTAGTGAGTCATGTGATTGACATGAGGTGAGCTATGGAAAGGAAAATATTTTCTATCAAAAAATCTGTGAATAAAAATGGTTTTTGGTATTTTCTTTAAATGGTGTTGTCACTTAAATTTAACTTCAATGTTAAATTCCTGATTTTCTTCATTGCCAAGTGACCTTGAGAATAGAATAGTTTTGCCTAAAGTTTGTGTTACTACCTTTAAGGTACACACTGTAATTCAGTGTGATATTTAAAAGCGATTTTTCCTGTCAAAAGTATGTTTTCTTATTATGTGTGTGTGTGCATGTATATAGTAAGAAAGGAAATAAACCTCAATGCCATTTTTTTTTTCCTTTTTTTTTTGTCATGTCTGGCAACGGATCGCAACCCTCAGTG